TAAAATTATCTTACAAAGGAGAAACTCATGAATTCCCTGTTATTCAGGGGAGTGTTAGCGATGTGGCCTTTGATATTTCCAACCTTAGAAGTGCAACAGGACTGATAACCCTAGATGTGGGCTATAAAAACACGGGATCTACCACATCCAATGTTACCTTTTTGGATGGAGAGGAAGGCATTTTAATGTACAGAGGTTATCCAATAGAGCAATTGGCCGAAAAAATTCAATGGATTTTTATACTTTTGCTACCAAGAAAAAAATCTATTATGAGTATTATAGCATCCATACATGCCCGTCAGATTTTAGATTCGCGAGGCAATCCCACAGTTGAAGTCGATGTGCTTACCGAAGATGGGGTAAAAGGTCGTGCGGCCGTTCCATCGGGCGCTTCTACCGGAGAACATGAAGCCGTTGAATTGCGCGATAAAGAAGTGGCGTTTATGGGCAAAGGGGTACAGAAGGCCATTAATAATGTCAATGATGTAATTGCACCAGAATTGGTCGGTTTTTCTGTGTTTGAACAAAATTTGATCGATAAAATTCTAATTGAATTGGATGGTACTGAGAATAAATCTTTCTTAGGAGCCAATGCCATTTTGGGGGTATCTTTGGCGGTAGCCCATGCGGCGGCCAACCAGTTGGGAATGCCATTGTATCGTTACGTGGGTGGGGTTAGCGCCAATACATTGCCTGTTCCCATGATGAATATCGTTAACGGAGGTTCTCATTCCGATGCCCCCATTGCGTTTCAAGAATTCATGATTATGCCAATTAAGGCCGAAAGTTTTTCAGATGCATTGCGCAATGGCACCGAAATATTTCATCATCTAAAACAGGTGTTGCACGACCGTCATTTATCAACGGCCGTTGGCGATGAGGGTGGTTTTGCCCCCACATTTAAAGGGACTGAGGATGCCATTGAAACCATCATAGAGGCCATTTCTAAAGCAGGCTATAAGGCAGGAGATGATATAATGTTGGCTTTGGATTGCGCTTCGTCTGAGTTTTATGTGGATGGGAAGTATGATTATAAAAAATTTGAAGGCGAATCGGGTGTGATCCGTAGCCGAGAAGAGCAAGTGGCTTACCTTAAAGAACTCACTC